CCCGTTCGTCATTGTGCAGGCATCAATTTCTCTGGATCTTTCCCGGTCAAACAACCAGCAGGGAGTCACAATCCTCCGACCCTCACTCTGTAACCGGGCACATCTTCCTTTCAGGCTGCTACCCAACCTTGTAACGTAAACAGGGCTAGTACCTTTGGGGGAGCTTTTTACAATTCACCGGTCATCTCGAGGCTATAGCTTCTGGGGCCCAAGAGGTGATTAGCTCGCTATCCGCAGCGTTTCAAGGCCCACAGTCTAACCACTTTAGCGCGTCCGCCACGCATGATCCTCGTTCATTTCATTGTGGAACTAGTTGTTCCTTCCATGTTCCTTGCCATTCTACGGTGCCTCAGTCATTGCCACGCTTTCGATCCATGGATAGGCCTATACTGCAGGGGAATCCCTTCTCCCTGCTTCATTCTATCAGTCAAGTCATTATCTGTGTTTCGCCAGAGTTTCTCCAGCCCTCGCTCGTTGCCTGCTTTATCTGCTTCCAATGTTTCGGCCACTCTCAAGGTACGATTGTCGCGATCACCAGATCCGAAAGCTCAGATCTCACTTTCCTTTTCTTCATCTTTGGATGCTTCCGAAGCACGACATTAGTTATCGGGTGCAGTAAACATGCCAACGCTTGAAGTATGTGCTTCACCTATGGCTTTCTGACGCCTTTCAAAGTAACGAAGGTAGCCAGCAGACCATGGACGCTGTTTCAGATATGATCTCCTCCCAGCGTCGGCCAGTAATCGAATGGAAAATCGTTTCACCCATCTAATCGCTTCATGGGCTCGCTCCAAAGATTATAGTTTTCACCCCGTAACTTTATCCAGATAACCCCATCTCTCATTCTCTCCCGGAAACCAACACGTCGCTTTCGCATTCAGCAAAATAGCTAAGACCCACAGACTCCCAGGCTAACAGGTCAACTGACGCCCCGCCCCGCCCCGCTCCAGTTCTTCAAAATCTCTACAATTCGTCAATAATGCCAGGATAACTCCTGGATAACCACGCGACACACCGGTATATTCGACCCGAATATTTACTCAGGAATTTACAAAGGGAGTTGGCTGGTTGGGGACTTAAAGATCCATATCACCAGAGAAGGGGTCGTGCTGGTGAGTGAATAGCAGACCCTGAGGGAGTCGACCCAAGGGAATGAGAGATGAAAGACGACCAGAGAACGAATCTATGGGGACCTCGCTTCAACGCTTCCCTGTCAATTAACATGGCTCGGACCTTGGCCTGCCTGTTTCTATTTCCATTGTCGCATTCAAACCCTCAGAGGGCAAGAAGGCGCCAAGATGAAGACAGCATGTAGATCTCGAAGTTTCCTTTCTGAACCGACGAAATGATCGTCCCTACCTACTATGCATGGTATGGTCTCCCGATGTTGTTCAGTTGTCTTTGTGCGTCGGAGCACGGGTTGCATTGACCTGTGGGATATAGGCGCTTGTGTGTACGGAAGTCTTCATGGTCCGTGGAATGATTCCGACGCGACGCGTTCCACCAAGAGACATGCACTTTTGGGCTTAATTGCCATTATGCTCCGATAAACCTTCAACAAAAGGACAGCTTTACTGCGTATACAGCAGCAACAAGCGCTTCATACCTTACTTTCCTTGACTCACTCCCGTCCATTCATGCCAATCTAACTGCCGCATGCCTATAGCCTGTCGAGCACTGGCACATCTCTCCGAACTTTCACCCGCCGGCCGAAGCAGCTTCAAATTGATCCAATCACACAGACTATTAGTAGTACTTGTGATGACAATGTGATGAACAAATGTTTTCACAGCCAACAAGTGAATCTCTCGACCCCCCTTCGCCCGACGTGAGATCGTAACTGTATTAACAGCCCTGCTGCCCTGTCACAGGTTTACGTTGAACGGGGTTGCCCCAGGAATCTGGGGCAAAACCTGGAGTAGCATATCGTTCGCGGTAAGATCAAGTAGGGCAGAGCTGCGGGCGTAACCAAGTTGTATTTTCGCGTTTCTAGGTCCTCCAAGCACTCCCCGCCCCCAGTGCTAGGTACATAGGAACAAATCGCGGGTGGCGTGTCTGCTTCCCGCTACATAGCAGAAATTTTCGGCACCCTCTTTCACGGAGGCACACTTCTCTGGGGTACAAAGGAAGATGGCTAAGCCGGCGGAAATGGACTGACAGGTGCCTATACGGTGAGCGTTATTAAAGTGACTTTCATGACTGGTTAACAGTCCCTTATGTCACCAGACAAGTACTAGTACATACGCAGAGGATTCGCGGTTTTGACGGACCAACCCGAAAGTCGAGCCTCGAGGCTGAGTATCCCAATCCAGCGCTGAGTGCAATTGCTCTCTCAATAAAGCCCAAGGCGAACAAGCAGCGCCAGGTAAGCGCAGCTGACTAGGTACATTCCAGTTATTGCCTCTTTGCTCCTATCTAATCCGAAAATCCCTATGGACCGACGAAGATAAAGCTTCTGTGGCACAAACTCAACTGCTGCGGAATCGCCACACCCCCAGCAGTTCGGCGCATATGTGCTCACAAAGTAAGAGACACTTTGCGGAAATGTGATTGTTACTACATACTTTTCATGTCGTCTTGCTACTTCCCCATGTCAAGATGCGGCGCATCAGGAACCTTGTGACTTCGCAAAATGGCTTCTCAACACACTGGCACCTTTTCATGTGGGGAAGGCCTGCACCGTGATACCAACATACCCAGTAGGGGAACTTCTCCACGGTTTCAAATGTGCTGCCTCGTGGACGAACTCTATCCAAGCGTGTATGAGAGCAAGAACTTGCTTCTTGATGTCGCCTTGGCTCAACCGCAGCAAGGAACTCTAGAACACTTCAACAAGGAGCAAATAGACTCTATTGATACGGACCGGTCCCTTTCGCGCTTATTTTCTCGAACCGTGCTATTCCTGGCTATCGAAACCATGCCCGTTACCCCGCACAACTGTTCAGGTGTCGTTAAACCCAAGTGTAAGTACTGCGACCGTCCTTCCTTCCCCACCGCCGCTGTTTGATGATGAATGACGGAATTCTAATTCAAACCCACCATTTAAAGTCACCCCTGCTCGGTACAGCTGACTAGGAAAATAGATGACTCCGCTATTCCAATCTGGAAAGTCCGGCACTCGCTTCTGGGTCGGTGACGTTTCTCGTTGGGTCGCAGCCTTCTCCAGGCCTCCTGCCCCTTCCATTCTTGTTGCGCTTTAGGATAGACCGACCCGAGGGAGTGACTTGCACTCGTTATCTTTCGGATCCTGCTGTTAGGTTGGAGATAGGGTAAAGCAGGACAAGCTTTGTGTCGGCGACGACGACGGAGTTGTCAGAGGGCAAAGACTTAGCTATGTGTCCTGCTAAGTTGTGGCTTCTTCGAGGGAAAGGAGGAGGCCTGATAAAGTTAGGCGCCGAGTCGGGATCCTCGTGGATCGGTGCTGGCGCGACCTGGATATCGAGGGCGTTGCATTGAGCACCAGAAACGTGTCGTTGGGTCAAGCAGACCTCGAGGAGCCCAGCTTCCCTCTTGTACCCAGTTATCGTTCGGGGTAGTAGGCTACAGGGCGAACAATACTTCCATTGGATTTCTTCCATACTGTCTGTCTGTTAATGACGAAGTCCTGAGCACAACAACCTCGGCGGCGCTTCCACAAGGGCGGCCGTACGACAAGATCCCAATCATAGGGAATGGAGTCCGAGCGGCCCGACTTGCAAAGTAGGTTGGCGGAAGATACTACCCATCAGCGCTCAGCGCTCGGAACATTTGACATGGTCCGTTGAGACTAAAACTCGTTACAACAAGCTACCAAATGGCGCCCAGGGATAGTAAAATGGCAAGCTGGGGTCGTGTTAGATTTCCAATGAGGTTAGAAACCATCTTAATCTACCTCTAGAGCTATCAGGTGTTACAGATATGACTGATCCCAGAAATCGTGTGGCAATCCCCTGCATGAGGGCGCTAAGAGAGCCTCCAAAAAGTAGTACCAAGCTGTCCGAAAAATATTGCATGAACCTGGTGTGGTGGTTTTCATGGTGGAGCGCAGTGGGACATCTGGCAGGTGCATGACAAGACGGAGCTCAATTGATTGAACGTACCTACCATCTCAAGGCAATACACGTTGTCGAAAGCCAAACCTTATCGTGTCCGGCTCTTAGAAGCTGGCCAACCCTGGCTCGTTTCACCCATGGCTGTGGGCGCATCTTATGCGTGCGAGATTCTTAAAAAGGGCATTGGCGATACTGACCCCAGAGCTGCTGAATCTTTTCCAGAATGAGAATGAGCCCCATGGCCTGACTTCGGTGCGTATTACACACCACCTTGGCGCGCTGAATGGACTTGGAGGCACTAGTGGCTACTGCTTGCCTCCAGAGTCTGTTCAGTTTCGTGTCACACGACTGGCGAGGCCCCAATAAACACTGGAGCAAAGGTGGTATATTAGTACCCCAAGAGACCCCGATATATGTCAACTTGGGAGCAGAAGTATGCTCCTAAAGCCACCGAGTTCGAAGCCTTGAACATGCTGGCTTGATGCTGATGTCCTTCCCGCGAATGTTGAGCGTTCGCATCTTGTAATGGCACAAGAGTTGATGCATGATGCAAGTACGTACAGCTCACGAGGTATCATTAGGGCCCGGGGGGATGTCAGAAGACCCCTCCAAGCCGTCAACGGAGCTTGCTAGGGCCTCGGATGGTGAAGCACAAGTGTAGCAGGTCTCGATGTGGGGAAACTTTTGACAGCGAACAGTCGAAGCATGCCACCAGTGCGAAGAAGGGAGCCAGGAGAAGTGCCACTTCTCCAGGTAATCGATTGACCGGGGATGGTATCTTGAAGCCTATAGATGATGTCTAGTACTCACCCTTATTGGGCAGAACGAAGTCACTACCCGCTCTACCGGCTATTGGTGACTAGTACCAGGGACTCACTTCGCACACAACCTGAGCCTATATCACCGTATAGAGTGAATTGGCGGAGCTCTGGCGCTGTGATTTCATGCTTTTGCGGAGCCGGTTTCCAAGGGCGCTTAGCACAGTGGTAGCGCGCACGCTTTGCATGTTCAGGGCTAACAATCCTGAAACTCTTGCGTGAGGCCGTGGGTTCAATCCCCACAGTGTCCATTCTTTTGTTTATGGAGCTAGAAACCTTTTTCTCCTTCATTCAATTCAAGTTTCCGTCCAATCTCCTGATTTTAGGCGGTTAGTCAGCGGAGAGCGCTGTAACGTGACCGATATCTCTGCAGGGCATTCAAATCACCTCTGAATATGATTCTCTCAGATCCATCCCTTGCTACATTTGCTTTGCAGATGCTTCAAGTATTTACGGTCCATTTCTTGGAGATGCGGGAGAAGCCCCTGTCCTGACTGACGCCACCGATCGTTGTTGGACGTTGCCGCATCAAATTCACTGAGACCTCCTATATCTCAGAAGTTGGGCCGTCTGGAGAATTGACAGGCATGGACCAACGAACAGATATCTACTAGTAGGTTAGCGGCCCGGTAGGATCCGTCCCAATGTCAGTTGACCACGAACATATGATTCCATTGACAGCTCACAGAAGCGAGCTTAGTGGGGCGAGTGTCACAGAGAGTTTGGTGCGTGCAGCTCGGGGTACCGGAATAACTCCTCTCAAGAATCCACATTAGAAACAAAAATAGCACGGGTAATCCAGCTGGTAGGTAACTTTTGACGAGGTATGATTAGATATTTATCCTATGACATTGTTGTCTCCAAAAGCCATCCCTCGAAGCGAAAAGGGAGGCCCTCGACTAGCACCCCAGAATGCCTTGAGGCCAACGAGCTCATCGTCATTTCAACTCCCAACCAAAGGCCCCATGAATCCTCGTCACTTGGGCGTTTTCAAGCGACCGAGACGGTGGGTTCCATCTGCGCTGCATTCTAATGTCGTTGAGAGGATAAGATTGTCCGAGCTCTTGCTTAGCCGATGATATGGGAGTCGCACTCGGGAGCTTGGCATACTTTACAGGTATTCGGAAGCACATTGGCCGAGGCTTCCTCTTGATATCGCTGCTTCGTGGTTGTGCATTGAATCAATGCGGGGGTACTGGTTTTAGGGTGCTCTGTAGCACCACCGAAGGGCCTTCTAAGGGTGTCACTTGATGCTGGAACCTGTCAAAACGCACGACGCAATATCCCACTGCAACCAGCTTCGACGCATTCCCGCACCAAGTTCCTCATGCAGAGAAGCGTCGGGATGCGCTCCCGTGAAGGTTCATCGCCTGCAGGTTGCGAGATCTTGTATGGAGATGGTTATGGTGCGAATGAGGGCTGGTATCTGGGCGGCGAATCAGGTATTTCCAAGTCGGGGCTGTGGGGGGTATTCGTTGGCGAGGATGAAGCTGACAGCGGAAGAGGTTGATTGATAGGGGTCTCTTCGTGCATCCGTAGATGTTGATGACGGCGTTTCCGTCGGTCCCTATTGTTCATACTCTCCCGTTCCATTTGGGCAAGGGAAAGGCGCAGCACAAAGAGGGTTGCCAGGTTGGCAAAGTGAATGATGGTTCCAAAGACTGTCAGCCAAACCTTAAAGAAGCGAAGGGTCAGACAGCTTCTAAGGAAGAGTACACAGGGTGGACTCACGAGATTACCCCATTCCAGGTAGATGTTGCCATAAGTTTCTCGAAGGTCGCCCACCCGCAATTTGGCCTTTGCTATCACGACCAGGAGGAGGGTACTGGAGACAAGTGCAACGAGCATGGCGAAGCTCCCAAAGGCAAACAGTCTGCCCAGAGTCCTGGTTTGTGCCTTGAGGGAGACGCGGCCAGACTGCCTCATGCCAAAGTACATCCATAGTTGACCACAGCAGGTCAGGAAAGTAAGCACAGTCGCTTTCATGCCAGGGACGTCAAGCATGGACCAACAGTGGCATTAACTAGTAACTCACCGAGCGGATATAGGACAAAGGAGCGCGTGATGTGCTCATGCAGCAGCGAACGAAGGTTGGTATTCGTATGCCTGGTAATGTGTTAGATAGGCGCCGGCACGTTTGCCAAGCCAAGGTGAGCGTGCAAGGCGCTGATGACGTTGTCATCGATTTCCAGGTCAAACATCCTCCGACACCCTTCTGTGACGCTGGGTTCGCTCCTGGATCCCAATCAGTACAGGACAAGAACAGTAGCAGATGTCACTCACACAGGGATGTGCGGAATACAATAGCCCCAGAGTCCATAGTTGACATATCGCTTCAACCCCGTTTCCCTGTTCACCACCGTCGTCAATCGAAAGAGTTGATTCCCTTCCACCACAGGCGCTGAAATGGATATCAGGAGGAACAGGATTGTTGCGGCACCCAGGACAATGGCCGCCAAGACGTGAGGGTTCAGATTCTGTAGAAGGCGCTTCGCCATAGCACTTTGGTTCCTGCTTGGCAACCCAAAGCCGGGTTCTCGTTGGCGTCGATGGCAAGGGGAAGGCTGTCCAGAGGTTATTGCAGGACAGAAAAGAGCATGGGTAATGCTGTGAAAATCTGAAGATGGCTGCGCTGGGTTAAATATACATTCTGGTCAGAGTCTCTGGGACGGCAGGTTCCTGTCGGAGGAATTGCAGATTCCCCATCAGCGGTCCACGTGGGGCCTATAGCCGTTGTCGACCATGAACCCCCTGCGCTATCGGTGTTCAGCCAGCGTTGTAGGGCGAAGGACAGCAAAGTCTTATAGCGTACAGGTACGAGGAGGAGGAGATGGGCGAACTACAGGAGCCAAGAGGACTTGGACGGCTTGGGCTTGCCGTCGGTGGTGATGCCAAATAGCGCATTCCAGGCCGATGGCCGGTACGGATTTAGTACCCTTGCCATCATGTCCTCTGACACTCGAAATAGGTTCAGCCTAGCCTGCTCTCGGCAGTCCGTCTGAGGGCTGCACATCTGGCATTAAACTAGCCCTAGGCGCCAGCTCTTGCTGCCAGATTTTGCTGGACCACTACCTTCAACGTGGAATGGGCTTCAAGTTTGAGTGTTGTATACAAAATCTGCCTCACCGTTGGTTCGGGTCGAGTCCAGCCCTGTTGTTCTCAGCTTCAGTGGTCGTTGAACTATCGGCCGACGCTAGAGTACGGGCCTAGCCTTTGGGCTGAAGATACGAAGAGGCAATTGACACAGTCATTCCACTGACATATTAACTAACCCATTAGTCCCCGTGCCTTGAGAGCGGGTGGTATGTAGGGCTTATACGCGTTCCCAGATAAACCCATCTGACTTCTTTCGGTAGATGCCAATGTCTTTTGTGGTGCTCGTTGTTAAGGTGAATTTACTCAAGGTACTGAAACATGGTGGTACCTTGACCTTGATGGGTGGCGAGAACGGAACCTTCTTCAACTGGCATATACCTTTCGGTTGTCTTGCTGCCCCCAAGTCGTGCTTGGTGAGCTGAAGCTCTGAGTGCAGTGTGCTCCTATGCTCTTTGTTTCGGGATCTCGCGCAGAACATACTTGCTGCGTTTAGGCGTGGTAGCGCCTTCTGCTCCCTCAGTTCGATCGTTTATATTGATCTATGCGCGGACCATCACACTACAAGGCAAGTTTTCTTCATATGCTGTCCCTGCAGAGCCCAAAGCCAACTCCTTGGCAGGTACCTTCGAATTTAGGGGCACGTCCAACCGGGGCGGGATCAAGGCCCTACTCAAACTATGTGGCGCGCTGGTGTGGGGTTTTCTCCAAGAAGCTTCGGTTCTCTGCCTGATGCATCGTTCTTTCTATTGGAGGCTTCTGCCGACTGCATCTCTCTCTATCTTTCCTTCGGCAAAGAACGCCAGCGATCGATTCATCGTGTCCGCGATGTCTTGAACTTGATTAAGGTGCCTTGAGACGTCTCGACTAAATCTGTTGTCGACTTGTAGGCATTTACCGCTCTATGAATAGACGTTGCTCCTGGCGCCATTTAGCCCCACCGCTGCTCAAAGTTGTTCGTCGCCTCCTTCCCTAGAGATGCGCAAAGACAAGGCCTGAAAGCATCTGGTTCTCGCCACCACGGCCAGCCGGCTGGTCACTGGGACCCGCCTCCTTCTTTGCCTTGCCTGGCTGATCAACACCGAGACAGACTGGATGCTCCAACACGATGGTCAGTCAGCACCAATCGCCTCCGTCAGCCTACGACTGTGTTCATCGTCATTGGTACCGATCGACGACAAGTTCGACTCAAAGTCTCCACCCAGCCACCTCTGGGTATATAAGGCTGCCCAACTCCAGCTCATTTTCCTCAGCGCTTGCGTCGAGGGCCCTTTCCATAGGGTGCCATCCAAGGGGGATCGGCACCCTGCCCTCCGCAGCTTTTTCCCCCGGCCTCGCACCAATCGCGCGCATACCAGGCAGCCAAAGCGGCTGCGGCTGGGAGCTGAGGGCCCACTGTTCGTCTTCCTATCCTCTCTCTCACTCGCCTCCGTCGGTGCTGACCCTTGCCCTCTTGCCTCTAGACGCGTGAGATGGGCTACGGTCCCGCGCATCAAGCAACCCTACCAGTCCCACTCAAGCATGGATCGCCCAGGCCAATGGTGAGCTCGTCTATCTTCAATCTTGGTTGAATCGACGCTGACTTTTGGCGCAGGCTGACGAAGGCGGTTCGGAGTATGTCGTGCGATGCGGGCCATTGCAATGATCCTTGGGCGGAGGCGTAAGTCGTCTAGCTTGTCCTTCTCGCATCTGCCAGTACTAACATTGCTTCTTGGCTAGTATCCATGTCGTCACGAGTGGTACATCACCTCTGGCTCCTTATTCCTCCTGGGCTCTTTCTCATCAACATCGTTTTCTTTAGGCTGGTTTCGACTAACCGGTGCTATCACGAGTGACGAACTGCTGCCCTTGTTGAGTCACAGCGCGAACCCATTCTTCTATTGTACGTCCACCTACCTTATACCCAACCCTTCCTCTTCTCACCCATGTCCAGATAGGTACCATACCCCTTCCACAGGATCAGGTGCGTGTCTCTGTCGGTCTCATCGCCTTTGTCCCTGTTTTTTTGAACGACTGATATTTGATTTGTCCCTAACTCCTGGAGCTCCCGAGGGGAGATGGTGGGTAATCTCGCCTCGAGCTTCGAGTTCTGTCACGTCCTGAACTACGACTGACACGACAGGTGACCTGTCTGTCCTTCGAGTTCAGAGTTTGGTCT